CGGGGCGCAGCGGGCGCGGGGGGGCAGACGGAGAAGGCGCTGCCGGGGCCCCCCGGGGCAGGTCACCGTCCCCTGGAAGTGAGCGGGGTGACAGCGGCTGGACACGGGCTCGGGGCCGGCCTGGGGCACGTCCCCCGCAGCCCCGCGTCGCTCGGGCACGGCGGAGGCTCCCCCAGACCTTCCTCTAGATGAAAGAGAGGAAGCCCTCGGGGGGGTGGAAGTGGAGAGCGACTGCAAAGTGACTTCCAGAGAAAACAGAAGGAATTCAGGGAGCTGGTGGTCAGGTCCAACAAAATGTTGTCAGAAAATCTGGCAGCGCTTTATTGAAGCGATGGGGCACAACGGAAAGCACCCCGGCACTGGGGGAAGGGGGGGCTCATAGGTCAGGGAATGAGCTGAAACTTGAGAAGGAAGGGCATAAAAGTAGAAACTAGGGGGAAAAATAGGAGGCACAGAAAAAACTAACAAAAGTCAGAGAAGCCAAAGTATGAGAAGAATTGTAACTAGCAAGAAACATGAAGGATTGCAAGAAAACCTTCAAAACAGGAGGTGCTGGTAGGAGGATGCTGAGCCGCCCATGGGGCCCACTGTCCCACCGAGGCTGAGAGGGACGACAGAAGGTGACAGGACTCAAGTGCTCGATGGCTTCTGCCCCTCAGCCTGCCCTGACGGCTGGATGGCACGGCTAAAGCCCCCAGGTTGAGAAAGGTGTGTGCTGGTGCTGGGTAAGGGGGAACAGCACATCGGCTGGGCTGCAGGTCAGTGAAGAACTGGCAGAGGATGGATGGTGCTTCAGAGAACAGGGAAAAGGGGTGGCACCAGTGCCTGACCTTGATAGGGGAAAAACAGGGAAGTGAAGAGTTACAGGCCACTTGGCTCAACTTCGAAGTCCAAGAAAACCATGGGACAAATAGCCAGAGACAGCAGGGAAGGGGAAGAATCACAGCAAACACACCTGCATACACACAGCCCTGCTCGGCCTCCTCCTCTGACAGTCCTCACAGCCAGGGGGGTGTCACCCGCACGGCGAACCCTGCCGTGTGCCTCACCTGCACGGCAAACCCTGCTGTGTGCCGGGGCACTGCGACCACTCCGGGGGCCCTGGGCTGCTCCAGGCTGCCCCAAGAGCCTTTGAACTCCAGTGTTCCCCAGCAAGACCCAGCGGGTGCTGGTTCAGGCTGTGAGGCACAGAGCGAGCACAAGCCTGTTCCCAGCAAGCCCCAGTAGTTGCTCCCTGCACATGAATAACCCAACCTGGTGGCACTGAGCTGCCTTTTCTGCAGCGTCACTCTCTGTCCTGCACTCAGCATGCAGTTTTTATTGCTGTGTGTGAGTCTGGGTATGAGATTCCTGTTCAGGGGCTGAGGCTTTAAGTGCTCTGGGCTCTCCTTGCTTTGCACAGCCTCCTCTGTGTCCCACTGCTGACCTTCAGGCAGACTTCACTCGCCCACGGTGCGCTCTGATGGCCTGATGACCCTGCCAGGCCGCTGCTGGCCAGTTCCTCTTGGGGTCCCTGCAGCTTTGATGGCCTGGACACCGTGACTTGGCTTCCTAGCACTACACTGACCTGCTCAGGGGAGAGGGAGATGCCACAGATCCTGATTTTCTAAGCCTCTGATGCCCACTTCTGCTGTGGAAGCCTGTGCCTGCGGGTTAGATGAAATGGCTACAGGGGGTGAGAGCTGCTGGGGGGGCACTTGGCAGCGCCTCTGCAGGAGGAGTGCACCCCTGTTCTCGCCTGGCTCCTTCCCTCACACCTGCATGGTAACAAAGTTGTGGGCTTGTTCTCTGGGTTATGATGCCATTTGGTTGGGGATGCTGGAGGACCCAGGTCTACCTTGCAATGAGCCTGGCAAACAGGAAAAGTGGCGAGAAAAAGAGCAGAGCAGTTCAGTGACATCAAACACGGGGTCCTGGGGGTAGGCAGGTACCAGGGACTATGCAGCTGCAGGAGAGGGAACTAATGACGTGGCAGCACTTCCACAAAGCAGAACCTGTGGGACGGAGCGGATCACGAGCCAAACATGTGTCAACAGCTCAGAGCAGTGTGACAAAAAGGAAATAGCAGCCTGGTGTATGCGAGCAGGTGAGTCATGTGCAAGGTACAGAAGCGGGCCTGCTCGAACGGCACAGCCGAGCCGGGGAGCATCGTGTCCCGCGCGAGGGGCTGGTGGGACAGTGCCAGCTCAGGGGGACAGTGACACCGGACCACCGGGAGCAGCTCTGGGGCCTGGGCCGCTGGGTCCCGGGAAGCTGCAAAGGGGGCAGAAATAACGGCCCTCGGCCCCCACCCCGAGAACATTGCCCGGCTCTGGGTCCCACCTGGCTGCGGGGCCAGTGCACCCCCTGGCCCAGGCTTGGGGCTCCCTCCTGCCCGCTGCTGGGAGCGCCCCATCAGTGCTGGGCCTGCGGCACAGCCCTCTGGCTCCCCTGTGCTCCGTCGGCGCCCCGTGGCAGCCCAGCAGCCTTCTCTGGAGCTGGTGGTCAGCCAGCGGGACGCCTCACCACCCTGCGAGAGCGGCCAGCCCCGCGGCTCCCCTGCCCTCCTTCCTGGGAGATGCTTGCATAGCCCTGAGTTGTGTTCTAGCCGATTCCAGCCTTTTGAGTGCTGGGCAGGGCTGCCTCGCAGGGTGGCTGCTGCACAGCTGGTGATCCCAGGATCTTCCCTTAAGGACCCAGGTGTTTGCTGAGTGGGATTCACCTTAAGCCTTTTTCTGTTCCTGCTTGCATCTCCCTGCAGTCTGTTCTCAAGCCAAATGTGCTGACCAGGCCAAGAGGCACCGGTGTGGTGCTGGAACTTAGAAAATGTCCACACCTGTGTCTGTTTGGTGCAGACAGTGTTGGAGCCTTTCTCGTGGGGCCAAGCTAGGGACACAGCACACACCTTTGGAGTGGTGTAGGGTAGAAGCAAGGCAGAGGAACGTTGCTCAGAGCAGGGGTATGCTCATACCTTCCTACACATGGTAGCTCTCAGCTGGTGGAGATCCAGAAGCAAGCTGACAGCGCTTAGGAAGCGGTGAGCAAAAGGCTGCATGGGTAGCACGTGTTCTAGAAAGGCCTGGTCTGGAGCAGGAGGCACAGGAGCTGCACATGGCCTCGCTGCAAAAAGCTGAAGGTCCTCAGTGGTGATTTCTGGTCATTAGGGTAGAGATGGTAATTTTGTGTCCTGTTGCTCATTGCTGCCCAGAAGGTACGCAGGACCAGGGAACTGGGGCCAGAGATGTTTGGAGTTCAGAACAGAATTTCTCTTGAAGATGAGGGAAGTGGCAGTCAAACAGAGCCCTGGAGGGCTCAGCAGACTCTCTGGCCCTTGACTTCCTGATCCCAGGCTGGAACCCTGCTGCTGAGCAGGAGCTGCTGCTATCAGCTCTAAAGACGCTGGGTT